GATGGCACAAATTTGGCAGTTTTCCTTGTACCGGAATAACAGGTTGTGTGATCGGCGGGTACATGGAGGGGTGGCACTGTTGTTTGACCAGCATGTGCCCTCCTTCTCCATGTCCCTCAATACACCCTTGGAGGCTGTAGTCATACGTGTTTCCTTGGGGGGTGACTGTATCGGCAGGTTTCAGAAATGTTTCCTGTAAGGAGGGACATGTGGGATGATAGGAGTCAATCAAGGCCTTAATGTCATCGAGATTAGAACGAAAACCTCGACAGTTCCACTGTATCAAAGTGGCCATTTTTATGTATGTGAGAATCCAATGACTGAGGACGTGATCGAATAATCGTCCTGCACTTAGGGGCCAAAGATGGACCTACACGGACACGAGAGGCTGGTGCCCGAGGAGGTTGACCCAGGCAGTCACTGGAAGGAACAGTGGGGACAGAGATTGGAGTAGATGTAGACTGATCCACTTTATTATCCATGGAGGGCAGAAGACCCCATACATGGCGTGAAAAAGACTCAGATGGAGGCACGGAAAGGTTCGTCTGCACTGCCACTGTAGCAGTGGAGCGTAGTGCAGAGGCATATGTCTGCGATGTAGGAGGCAACAATAGCTTCCGAGCCTCAGGATAAGATATGTTATTAATAGTCTTCAAATGCTGTACCTCTTTTTCCTCCACCCACTTAGAGCAAGACCTAAAGTAGGATGGGTGTTAACCACTACAATTAACACAGTGAGGGTCCATTTTGCACTCGTAGGAGTCATGGTCCTTGCCACCACAACGAGCACACGTCACAGAACCACGACAAGATGTCTTTGAGTGACCGAACCGCTGACACTGAAAACATCGGAGAGGGTTCGGAATATAGGGCCGTACCTTACAGTTCAAATAACCTGCCTTAATGGCGGCAGGTGGACGTGGTGATGAAAACGTCAAAATTAAAACTGAGGTCGGCACCATAATTCCATCTTGACGAGTGGGGATCCTTCGGACTGCCGAAACTCCTTGATTGGAGATACCAGCAAGGATCTCTGTCTCGGGGATAGATTTCAAATCCCTCTCAACGATAATTCATCATGAGGAATTCAAGTA